CAGAAGGAGGACAGACACACCAGGCAGGACTTGAGGGCCTTCAGCTTGGGCTCAGAGCACACGTCACACTGCACCTCTTTAAAGTCGGGCATGTCACCCATAGATCTGCTCTTCTTCTTCTCCAGCTTAGACGTTGAGGCCACCTCCTTCAGGAGCGTGTTGACCTTGAGCTGTGGTCTTCTGTGGAACATCTCTTTACACACAGGACATGTGCAGGGTCCATCAGTGTCCCAGGCCTGAGAGATGCAGCGTCGGCAGAAGTTGTGTCCACATGGAGTGGACACTGGCTCAGAGAACACCTCCAGACAGATGGAGCACAGGAACATCTCCTCAGAGCTCTGGTCTCTGGTGGAGGACATGTCTGAAACAGAGCAACAATAGTGACTCAGACTAAAGTCAAGACTCTTATTGTGACAGGAAAGAGGTGAAGAGCTTTTATTTTGGAAGGCTTCAGGAGGATGTGGTGAGGAAGACTGGACTAGAAGAATAAGTTTGTGTTGTGACCATAGACTGTTTGTGACTGATATCGAACACGGTTTAAGGAAAAGGCTGAGACTCAACGTCACCATGACGACAATAAAAACAACAGAACGTCATTTGAGCTCAAAAACACCACAGTGTCCTGAAGATGACATCGCCGTCACTTTTCTAAGCACAAGTGTTGAGAAAAGGTCACATTTGATTTGTTCAGAGTCACTTGTTGTTGAAGTTGTGACTCTTGTGATCAGGTGGTATCTGGGTGATAAGAGTCAGGTCTGTGGAGATGCGAGCTCAAAGAAACAAGGCTTGTTTTTCACTGCAATAAACACAAGCAAAAGGAAACGTGCTTTGACTGAAGTGAATGTAACGTGAAGAACAAAACATGAAATAATCCAAAGTGTGTGTGGAGTTTACAGTCACTCACTTAAACCACTGCAGATTTTAAATGAAGTTAAACGTGAACCCATCCTGTCATTAACAAGAACTCAATAATAATAATAATAATAATAATAATAATAATAATAATAATAATAATAATAATACATTCATGTGAGTCTAAAACATCGTCTTATCAGTCACAGAAGTGTTGGAAAGTGAAAGTAAAGTTGTGGTTTTACTCTCGTCTGTTTGAGCAAAACTAATGTTCAACTGAACCAATGTTAGTAGTAGTAGTAGTAGTAGTTGTAGTAGTGTAGTAGTAGTAGTAGTAGTAGTAGTAGTAGTAGTAGTAGTAGTAGTAGTAGTAGTAGTAGTAGTAGTAGTAGTAGTAGTAGTAGTAGTAGTAAGTAACACTGACCTGTAGTTTGCATTTGCTCAAGGGCACCTCAGCGGATTCAAACCCTCAACACACAGAGTGTTTGGTGGTTCAGTGTGTTTTCCTTGGAGCAGCAGAGGGAGGAGCTGCTGTGTCCTTATCATAAAAGGACCAAATTTTGTGTTTGGCAAAAACAAATTCTGATATTTTCTGATCCGACAGAAGCAGAGCAGGTCATTTTGTGCTGTTTTCTTGCAGCCTGGTAAACGTCAGTATTGGGCAGCAACAGAACCCAGAGGAAAAATGTGCTGCTCTTATTTTCAGCTCAGAGACAAACGTTGAGACTCTCATTGTGGTCTCATTATAGTTCTAGATTTGTCTGCTGTGAGTCTTGTTTGTTTCTCCTAAAATTCACAGGAGTCTTACTTGAGACACTGGGGAGAAACGTTTTAACCGTTTTAATCGTCCTAAAAAAAACATACAACTAACAAAAAAATAAAACATTTGTGAATTTCAAAAGTGTTTTTATTGATAATATTAAGACAGGTTTTTTTTTTTGTTGTTGTTGTTTTTTTGTTTTTACATTTGACCAATCCAAGCCCCTTTGTATAGTTTCAGTTTTATTTTGAACTCTTTGTAACATTTACATACACACTTATAACTTAGGTTCATCATCAAAACTCCAACTAAAACCTTTCACATGTCCCAAATGCATCATTAAAGAGTCTCAGTGTCACATATTGTTGGACAGAAACGTTCAAAGTTTCAAAAGTCTGGTTGGTGAGATAAAGAGTCGACCTGGGTCTTCACAAATGTCTCAGTTTATCTTTAAGAGACAGTGAGTCCGAGGAAGATAGAGACTGTGTCACATTTTGGGTAGTGTGTGTAGTGTGTGTGTAGTGTAGTGTGTGTAGTGTGTGTGTAGTGTGTGTAGTGTGTGTAGTGTGTGTGTGTGTGTGTGTTGTGTGTGTATTGTGTGCATACTGTGTGTAGTGGGTGTATAGTGTGTGTGTTGTGTGTGTGTAGTGTGTGTAGTGTGTGTGTGTGTAATGTGTGTGTAGTGTGTGTGTAGTGTGTGTAGTGTGTGTGTGTGTGTGTGTGTGTAGTGTGTGTAGTGTGTGTGTGTGTGTAGTGTGTGTAGTGTGTGTGTGTGTGTGTAGTGTGTGTAGTGTGTGTGTGTGTGTGTAGTGTGTGTGTGTGTGTAGTGTGTGTAGTGTGTGTAGTGTGTGTGTAGTGTGTGTGTAGTGTGTGTGTGTGTGTGTAGTGTGTGTGTGTGTGTGTGTGTAGTGTGTGTGTAGTGTGTGTAGTGTGTGTGTGTGTAGTGTGTGTGTGTGTGTGTAGTGTGTGTGTAGTGTGTGTGTGTGTAGTGTGTGTGTGTGTGTGTGTGTGTGTGTAGTGTGTGTGTGTGTGTGTGTGTGTAGTGTTGTGTAGTGTGTGTGTAGTGTGTGTGTGTGTGTGTGTAGTGTGTGTAGTGTGTGTGTAGTGTGTGTGTGTGAAGTGTGTGTAGTGTGTGTGTAGTGTGTGTGTAGTGTGTGTAGAGCGTGTAGTGTGTGTGTAGAGTGTGTAGTGTGTGTGTGTGTGTGTGTGTGTGTGTGTGTGTGTGTGTGTGTGTGTGTGTGTGTGTGTGTGTGTGTGTGTGTGGGACCATTGGCAGAGTTTGTAGTTTTGAGGACCTGGGTGAACTCTGGGGCCCTCACTATAATAACTCTAGTTTATAATAAATATAATGTACTGTCTGTTTTTTTTGTGTGTTCTTGAAACACACACTAACTAAGCACACACATACACACACACACATACACACAGACACACATACATACACATGCATGCACACATACACACAGATACACACAAACACACACACATACATACACATAGACGCATACACACACACACATAGATACACACACATACACACACACATACATACACAGCCCTACACACACACACATACACACACACACAACCACACACATACATACACACCCCTACACACACATACATACATACACACACACACATATACACACACACGCACACGTATAATTTCATATCAGTGTATTGTTGGGACCTCCAGCATGTAAATACTAACCAGATCTAAACCAGGTCTAAATATCATAAATATTATAAAAATGCTAAAGTCCGAGTGCACAGAGGTCATTCCATGTGTGTTACCGAGCGACCATAATGTAAACAAAGACCTGTGTGTCTAAATTACACAATAACTGTGATTGTGATGAATGTGATTAGACTAAAAATAAAGAAATGACAACACCTTTATTTTGTAACGACAGAACCACCGACCAATCAGAGTTTATTTAAAGATAATTTATTTTACTCTTTTCCTTGTCTCCATGGAGATATTATTCCTTTGCATGTCCCGTGGTGTGGCATTAAACGTGTCTTACATTTATTCACTTAGACGTGTTTGAATTGTTAAAACTACATTGTAAAAACAGACATTGTTATTGTGAGTGGGCTCGCCTCTCTGCAGATCTGACCCATAACTTGGCTTGGAGGCGTCACCTGCTTGAAGAGAGAAAAAGGTTGTAATTTTGGTACAAAAACAGAAAAAGCAAATGTGCGAGAAAAATCCTCGTGACACATTTGTACATTTGAAACACGACTGTAGAAACATATTCTAATACAGGAATGTGAGAGAGTCAAAGATGAAATCAGCCCCAGAAACAAAAACACACACTGGACTTCACTATTTTATTTTTGACAAGAAATGTATTTATTTATTTATTTTACAGTGGAACAGCGAATCATCATCAATCATAACAGAAATAACAACAACAAAAAATGAGCCCAAAAAGAAGTGGGAAGAAGAAAATGGATGTAATCCCAGCCCCACTCGTCTAATCCAACACAATGAACTTTCTTTTGCTTTTTTCACACATTTTGCATTAAACTATTTACAAGAACTATTTACAAGTGCGGATAATGAGTCACTGTTATGTCTCGGTGGTAAAACATCAGCGTACGAGCAATGGTGCGGAAACAACGAGCATAAAGCAGCTCTACAGAAGGAAGTAGAGTTCTAATATTATGAGCCACTCTCTACAAACTGTCACCACACCACATGTTTAAAGAACTACTTGAATTTAGGGATATTTTGGCCTTGTTTGAGACGTGTATGTTACAGAAACGAGCTTTGGGAATCATCCGTGAAGTTGTTTTTTTTTAGAACACACCCATAATCTTTTTCTTCAATCCAAGCTCCTAAAGATTCCTGACCTTGTAAAATATTAGACACTGGTCATTTTATTCAGAGCAACAATTTACTACCAAGTCATCTACAAAATGTATTCAAAATGAGAGAACTTATCATTTTAGAGGGTATGGAAATGTTTGAATTACCCGTAAAAGTTTGTGTGTGTCTGTATGTGGTGTAAAAGTCTCTTATAGGTGTGTTCTAAAAATCCAACTTTGTGGATAATTCACAAAGCTCGTTTCTGTGATATAATGAGCGGATGAAGTGTAGATTGGTAAGTGTCCCCCACACTTCAACACTTCTGTGAAATAAGAACAAACAAACAGTCGAATGTACAAAGGGCATTTTGATCAAGCTCATATTTCACTTTGTTTACTGTAGCGAGACTTTTGGACATTTTTGATTTTTATGTGTCTAATGTGTCTTTCCATGATCATTTACTGTCAATTATAACTCCCAGGAATTTATTTTCATTTACATCTTACATTTGGACACCTTCAATCATAATGTGTAACTCTGTGTTCATGTTGTGATTGTCAAACGTCATCGTCTTGGTCTAATTCACGTTTAATGACAATTTATTCACATCCATCCACTTTTTTTTTACTTTGTTCAGTTCCTCGTTTAGACTTTTACTTATGAGTTCGTTATAATTGTGACTACTATAAAATATGTTGGTGTCGTCTGCAAAGAGAATAAGTTTTAGTGACTGAGATACAGTAAATATATCATTTATGTAAATATTGAACAGTTTTGGTCCCAAAACAGACCCCTGGGGGACTCCACAAGCAATGCCAAGGTTTTTCAATGTAGAGATTCAGACGAGCTTTACCAGTACAATGTCAATTCTTATTTTCTTTACAATAACTCAGATTCTTTTCAGTCCAGTTCAAATTACAGAGTAAAAAGTACTCACATAAAGTACCTCAAAATTATACTTAAAGAGGAAATATTATGCAAAATCATCAGGACATAAATGTACAAAAACATGACACAAAACTGTTCACAGAAACCAGACAAACCTGATGTTGTGATGTTGCTCTGAAGGGGGAGTGACTTAGCACGAGGAGCAAAAGGAGGGAGGACAAAACAACAAAAGGAACATGTTGATCTAAATCTGTTGTGTTACAGTTAATAGTCCAGAGAAGTTCTGATAAAAATTTAGATTGTATAAAGATTTCTTTCAATCTGTCTTTGTGTAAATGAATGTGATTTCTACCTTAAACCCAGACCAGTAATGAACATGTGTAAAGGTTCATCAGACACAACTGTCTCCTCCTTCAGGAAGCCTTTTGTTGTTCTCAACTGTATGTTCATTTAGCACCAGCCTCTGAAACCAAAGTCCCTCTGCTTTGATATGTATCTAACTTGTATTTCTATATAAATACTCAGAGCTCAAATGCTCTGGGGCAGATACTGGGGAGAGACTAGGAAGATGGGGCAAGATGTGGTTGGGACATACTGCTGGTGGGGAGAGGCTGTTGGGCTGTAGTCAGGGCAGGTCTAGGCCCTGACCATATCTGCTGTAACAAGAATAAACCTTGGTCTATATTCCAAAAACTCATCGGGCTTTGCAAATGCATTCATTATTTATCTTTAACAGATATGTAATTTTTGCCACAACAAATCGGTGTCAAGAAGTGCCATCCACAAGTGACCGTCCAGAACACAGCGCAAATGGAGTTTTGTCTGCTTTTGTTTTGTTTCCTCATGCATGGAGCAAAGAAGGACATGGATGGAAATTGGCTTCTGTCCTGGATCATCACCGCTGGATTCGAGCAAGATTTGCTTGATGAGCTTTTGCAATATAGACTTCATTTCATTTAAGATAATTTAATGGAATCCTTCATCTACAAACACTACAAACTTGGAAATGTTCAAAGGACAGTGTGCCTCCTGTTGGAGTTAAATGGACTTCTCTAAACATGCCAAACTGTAGTTTCAGTGGCTTGAGGAATGAGTGGTCTAGAATGTCCCAAAGGTGAGAAATTTAAGAGCAAGGGATGGTCTTTGTTGCAGGTTGGGTGGTAGATTTTGGAGCCAAAAATATTGAAAAAGGGTCAATCAAGTAATTGAAATATGAGAATTTTAGCTTTTGTGAGATGAATTAAAAATTCTACAGGAATAGAGCTAAGCTATTGGAAATTGCAAGTGCTAAAACTAAATGGGGAGCAAAACTTCAAGGGAGTACGCGCCACCAGAAGGTTCCATTGTTAATTTTTTAAGAAGAAAACATGGAGATAAGAAGTCTTCAGAATTTGGTGCATTCACTTTAAAGAATGTTCTGACATTGGAAAACAAGTTATGTGAGACTGAAGTTGAAATGAGAGAAAAAGTAAAATTTCTAATAAAAAAAATTAGAAAACATTGAAAATTACAAGGACTGTGTCAAAATGTGGAAAGATAAAGCTGAGAGCAAAAATAAGAAAATCTATGCACAAGCAAACTCTGCTCTTTGAAGATGCAACTGAAATGTGTGAATTGAAACAGCCCCACTCACAGAACTTTTTGTCTCAACAGTTGCTTTCTGATCCTTCATCAAATAACTTCTCACAACTCAAAGCTCCACCACCCCCATCACAACAGGACTCTTCATCCACTGCTCAGAGACTACACCACCATGTTGAACAAGCAACGCTCACTATGCCAATGGCTGAAATCTCTGGTCCACAAAATCCAACGTTAGTTTTACGTCCATGAACTTCTGAAATATCTGCAGCATCTCAACATCTGTCCAATCCCACAACATCAGGTCAGACTTTTGCTAAAGAACTAAACACATTTTGTCAAGACTTCAAGCCCACTATGAGTGAACTGAGGAGAGTGTTGATCATGAAAATGAAACTTACAGAATGGCATAAATTAGCTGATCAACTTCATAACACTGAACTGCGATACAATCATGTGGATTGGAAACATGACTCTAATGCTTTGTATAGAGAAGCTGTGAACAACATCTGCATAGCTATCACAAAGGCCTTTCCTGCCTCCATCGATACTGACAAAATCCAATCCTGCAAACAAAGAGACACTGAGGACCCTGAAGAGTTTCTCACATGTTTAACTGAAGTGTATAACACCCACAGTGGATTTACAAGACCTGATCACTTAGGCGTGACTTGTGATATTTGGGAAACATACCTGTTTAACTACTTCATCAGTGGACTAAAAACAGACATTTCTTCAGCTGTGAAGAAAACTTGCATTGGCTGAAATGCTGCTCACCTAACTGAACTGAAAAGACATGCCACACATGCATATGAACAGCTACTGAGAAAGAAAGTAATGAAGCAAGAGAGAATGCAGAAAGAACTGCATATGGCAGCTGTGACTATGTACAATAAGAACCAAAGACATGAAAGTGAAAATCACCACCTGCATTCACAATTTCATAGCCAACTAAAGACTCTTCAGCCAACATGTAAGCAGAACAAAGAGAGGAGAAGAGCCAATTGAAAGAACAAGAGAAGATTTTCCAAAGAACCATGCTTTATCTGTTGTCAACTTGGACACTGGAGACGAGAGTGCTCTTTACGCCATGAGCCCTTTGCATTTACACCATCTTCTCCAAGTCAACGCGTGACCTGAAAGTCACTATGGAACTACAAAATGCCACCACCCTTTTCCCTAACCTGCGATGCCACTACCCCCTGCTGTGCTGACTGTGATCCAGTCACAGCCCCCACACATGATCCAGCTCCAACTTCCTGGGACATTAATGACTTTCATTTGGAAGTAATCTAAAGGCTACTGATGTTTTTTTTCTTTGTTTTGTTTTTTGTTTTCCTTTTTGATTTACTTGTCCCTATATTTTGATGAACATGGGTTTAGTTTTGCTACATCTTGCTTTACATATTATCTAGAATTTGGACGACTTTAATGTATTCTCCAGAGCAGAAGTAAGCACAGTCACTACAGCGAACTACCAAACAGTCACTGGGTGAAATTCCCCTCTAGAAGTAACTAGCAAGTGAACAGTCTTTAGTGAACAGTCACTAGGTGAAACTCCTATCTAGGGTTACTGACTGGAAAAAGGCAACAGGGTGCAATTCCCTGTGTAGATGAGTGTAAAGACGGGCTGAGACTTTCTCGTGAGGGAGAGTAGATTCAAGGCAGCAGTTAAGAATGAAGATATTATGTATTGTAAATGGAAAATGTTCAAAGACAAATGCAAATTTGCATATGTTTTGAACTGTTGCAACATGTAAAAAAAAAAAATAATAATAATAATAATAAAAAAAAGTCACTGTATGTTTCCGTGTTCTTGGGACCTGATCAGCCAAAATGTATGTTTTAAATTGTGCATTCTCAGAAAATCTGTGTTTAACATTTAAGCCTGTTATCAACAGTGTCAGCAAGAAAAATGATAGGATGAAATTAACTAAAAATGTTTGTTTTTAGAGTTACCTGTTTTTCTTATATTTTCTTTTTACTGATATTTGTTTTGTTTTGCTTATTGATTTTTTATAATGTCCTAAAAAAGTTCAGCTGGTACCAAAAAACTCCTTAGTTGTAATTGGTTCCAGAAATTCACTATATTTTGGTGAGCTCTCTTAAAGACAAGTAAGTAAGTCTTTATTTATATAGCGCTTTCACGGACATTTTCTGTCCCCAAAGACGCTTTACATAGCATTATTCAGCATTATTCATTCAGCATTCATTCATACAGCATTATTCAATACAATACAACATGAAGACCTTATCAAAGCCGGTTGTGATCACAAAAAAAAAAAAAAAAAAAAACCTTGATTTGACTGACTTGACCATCCTTGACCACTATGCGCCTGCAAATTTCTTTAATAATTACAATTTTGTTACAGGAGATATGGATGCTGCATAATTTTCTCTTCTTTTCTTCAAATGTCCTATGACTAACAACACTAACAACTAACCACTAACAGTTTTAAGAAAATGTTTCTTTCAGAAGTGCAATTTAACCAAACATAGTTTCTTACAGTAGAAGACAACAAAGCCAACACAGATGCCTGCTTAGAACAAAAATTGACACATAAATGTGTCAAAGGGGGAATATTAGAAAATTAGTTTAGATCACTTAGAGACTGTTTTCCATTTTTCAACTACAAGACCTGTAATCTGACAATGCCCTTCAAGACAAAGACAACCACCATGAATGGTCTGAAGCCAGGAAATAGCGTTCCACCTTGTCCAACCAAAAGCATCTTCTCCTGGACAGTACCAGACCTGCATCATTTAACCATTCTTCTGCTTTACAACTGTCACTGGAGAAAAACTTCACAAAAGTTCAGCCATTCAAACTTTTCAAAACGCGACCTGTTCCTCGCATGCTCAACCACAACCCTGAAGATGGACACATGGGTCAAAGGATGACTCCAGAGACGAGCTGTGGCTCAGAGAGTGGCCAAGGGAGGACAAAGGGACAGAGGACAGGCGACATTCAACTTGTGACTACAAATCATATTGAATATGGACAAACTGAACAAAACAATCCTTCTTAAAAGTGAACTGTTGAATTTGCCTTCATTTTTTGAATCCAACAAACTAATGGAACTCACTTCAACTCCATGGACTGTTTTAAATCCACAATATTTCTCTGCATTTTCTGTTTATGACGATGATGAAGTATGATTAATGAATAATCAAAAGGGACAATGTGTGATAGAAATTTAGATTGTGGAAAGATTTCTTTCAATCTGTCTTTGTGTAAATGAATGTGATTTCTACCTGAAACCCAGACCAGTCACGAACATGTGTAAAGGTTCATCAGACACAATTGTCTCCTTCAGGAAGCCCTTTTGTTGTCCTCAACTGTATGTTCATTTAGCACCAGCTTCTGAAACCAAAGTCCCTCTGCTTTGATATGTATGTAACTTGTATTTCTGTATAAATACTCAGAGCTCAAATGCTCTGGGGCAGATACTGGGGAGAGACTAGGAAGATGGGGCAAGATGTGGTTGGGACATACTGCTGGTGGGGAGAGGCTGTTGGGCTGTAGTCAGGGCAGGTCTAGGCCCTGACCATATCTGCTGTAACAAGAATAAACCTTGGTCTATATTCCAAAAACTCATCGGGCTTCGCAAATGGATTCAGTATTTATCTTCAACAGATATACAATGTTTTTCCACGATAGAAGTCACATCCCCATCTTTAAATTCACTACTTTTACTTTTATACTTTGTCACGACTCAAAGTCTCCACTGCAGTGACGACCAGAGGAGCAGAGTTTGAACCTCCAAAATTGTTACCGGGACTGAAAAATGGAAACAGTTTCTCCCTGAAGCAGCAGCGAGTGAAGGAGAAGAGGAGATCTGCAGAATCTGTGTCATAAAAGGAAACCAGACCCTCCCCATAGTCCACAAACACCCCGACCTTCTGAGGAGCTCTCTGAGGAAACAGACGGACAGAAGGGACAGTCCAGGCTTTGTACTCATCTTTGTTTCTTAAGCCAATGCACCACAGTCCACGTTTAGGATTTAAAGTGATCATTCCCTTCCTGTTGATGGATTCTTGGGCCACTCCTAAATCCCACTCTGTTTTTCCTTTGACCCTAACCTCAAAGTAAAACCTGCCTGAAGAAAAACTCTGTTTTCCTAAAACACAAACACCAAAATCAAACCTTAGAGGAGAATCTGGGAGTTTCTTCTTCACATCAGTACAATGAACCTGTTTGAGATCTTCAGACAGAGCGAGAGCAGGATGATTGGTGTCTGGGTCCAGAGTCACCTCCACCGCACTCTGCTGCGCTCTCCTCAGCTCAGCTTTCTTAGACTCTGAGGCCAGTTCTTTAAAGTGTTTGTTAAACTCCTGAGGGAGACTGTTCTTCAGCTCAGACAGAGCCCGGGACACACTGCCCTCACACGTCTCCGGCTCAAAGTTCACGCTGCTCCACTCCTTAAGCCCAGCAGGGGGCGTGAGTGCAGGGCAGCGCTGTAGGAAAGTGGAGGGGGTCTTCAGAGCGTGAGAGACGTTGGGCCTCAGCGCTGCTCTGCTCCAGATCACAGATCTCCTGCTTCAGCCGCTGCAGCAGATCCTGGGCTCGTCTGTGGCTCCGGCTCTGCTTCTCCTGGAGCTCCTCTAAGAAGAGGTCCATACTCCTCTGAACAGACTGCATGAGAGCAGTGAAGACCTGCAGCCCCGCAGACCTCTCTCTGACGGCCTCTGTCTCACTCAGCTCCAGGAGCCTCTGGATCTCCAGGATCTTCTGCCTCCTCTGCTCCACCATGTACTGGCTCTGAGCCTGAGTCTGCAGCAGAGAGGACCTCCTGCGCTCACACGCCTCCTCCAGAGACAACAGCTCATGGTTCTTGTGATCTAGAATGGAGCACATCATGCACAGGATCTTCTCATCAGTGTCACAGAAGAGCTCCAGGGGGCGCTGGTGTGTGGGACACATCCTGTCTTCCAGGTTTTCCACAGGCTCCATCAGCTGGTGTCTTTTCAGCCCAGAGACTGTGAGATGAGGCTGGAGGTGGCTCTCACAGAAGGAGCACAGACACACCAGGCAGGTCTTGAGGGCCTTCAGCTTGGGCTCAGAGCACACGTCACACTGCACCTCTGTAAAGTCGGGCATGTTCTCCATAGAGCTGCTCTTCTTCTTCTCCAGGTTAGACGTTGAGGCCACCTCCTTCAGGAGCGTGTTGACCTTGAGCTGTGGTCTTCTGTGGAACATCTCTTTACACAGAGGACATGTGCAGGGTCCATCAGTGTCCCAGGCCTGAGAGATGCAGCGTCGGCAGAAGTTGTGTCCACATGGAGTGGACACTGGCTCAGAGAACACCTCCAGACAGATGGAGCACAGGAACATCTCCTCAGAGCTCTGGTCTCTGGTGGAGGACATGTCTGAAACAGAGCAACAATAGTGACTCAGACTAAAGTGAAGACTCTTATTGTGACAGGAAAGAGGTGAAGAGCTTTTATTTTGGAAGGCTTCAGGAGGATGTGGTGAGGAAGACTGGACTAGAAGAATAAGTTTGTGTTGTGACCATAGACTGTTTGTGACTGATATCGAACACGGTTTAAGGAAAAGGCTGAGACTCAACGTCACCATGACGACAATAAAAACAACAGAACGTCATTTGAGCTCAAAAACACCACAGTGTCCTGAAGATGACATCGCCGTCACTTTTCTAAGCACAAGTGTTGAGAAAAGGTCACATTTGATTTGTTCAGAGTCACTTGTTGAAGTTGTGACTCTTGTGATCAGGTGGTATCTGGGTGATAAGAGTCAGGTCTGTGGAGATGCGAGCTCAAAGAAACAAGGCTTGTTTTTCACTGCAATAAACACAAGTAAAAGGAAACGTGCTTTGACTGAAGTGAATGTAACGTGAAGAACAAAACATGAAATAATCCAAAGTGTGTGGAGTTTACAGTCACTCACTTAAACCACTGCAGATTTTAAATGAAGTTAAACGTGAACCCATTCTGTCATTAACAAGAACTCAATAATAATAATAATAATAATAATAATAATAATAATAATAATAATAAAAATGCATTAATCTGAGTCTAAAACATCGTCTTATCAGTCACAGAAGTGTTGGAAAGTGAAAGTAAAGTGGTGGTTTTACTCTCGTCTGTTTGAGCAAAACTAATGTTCAACTGAACCAATGTTGTAGTAGTAGTAGTTGTAGTTTTAGTAGTAGTAGTAGTAGTAGTAGTAGTTAGTAGTAGTAGTTGTAGTAGTAGTAGTAGTAGTAGTAGTAGTAGTAGTAGTAGTAGTAAGTTGTTGGAGTTAGTAGTAGTAGTAGTAGTAGTAGTAGTAGTAGTAGTTGTAGTAGTAGTAGTAGTAGTAGTAGTAGTAGTAGTAGTAGTAGTAGTAGTAGTAGTAGTAGTAGTAGTAGTAGTAGTAGTAGTAGTAGTAGTTAGTAGTAGTAGTAGTAGTAGTAGTAGTAGTAGTAGTAGTAGTAGTTGTAGTAGTAGTAGTAGTAGTAGTAGTAGTAGTAGTAGTAGTAGTAGTTGTTGTTAGTAGTAGTAGTAGTAGTAGTAGTAGTAGTAGTAGTAGTAGTAGTAGTAGTAGTAGTAGTAGTAGTAGTAGTAGTAGTAGTAGTAGTAGTAGTAGTAGTAGTAGTAGTAGTGTAGTAGTAGTAGTAGTAGTAGTAGTAGTAGTGTGTAGTAGTAGTAGTAGTAGTAGTAGTAGTAGTAGTAGTAGTAGTAGTAGTAGTAGTAGTAGTAGTAGTAGTAGTAGTAGTAGTAGTAGTAGTAGTAGTTGTAGTAGTTAGCAGTAGTAGTAGTAGTAGTAGTAGTAGCAGTAGTAGTAGTAGTAGTAGTAGTAGTAGTAGTAGTAGTAGTAGTAGTAGTAGTAGTCAGTAGTAGTTGTTAGTTAGTTAGTTAGTAGTAGTAGTATAGTAGTAGTAGTAGTAGTAGTAGTAGTAGTAGTAGTAGTAGTAGTAGTAGTAGTAGTAGTAGTAGTAGTAGTAGTAGTAGTAGTAGTAGTAGTAGTAGTAGTAGTTGTAGTAGTAGTAGTAGTAGTAGTAGTAGTAGTAGTAGTAGTAGTAGTAGTAGTGTAGTAGTGTAGTAGTAGTAGTAGTAGTAGTTGTAGTAGTAGTAGTAGTAGTATTAGTAGTAGTAGTAGTAGTAGTTAGTAGTAGTAGTTAGTAGTAGTAGTAGTAGTAGTAGTAGTAGTAGTAGTAGTAGTAGTAAAGTAACACTGACCTGTAGTTTGTGTGTTGAGGGTTTGAATCTGCTGAGGTGCCCTTGAGCAAATGCAGAGTGTTTGGTGGTTCAGTGTGTTTTCCTTGGAGCAGCAGAGGGAGGAGCTGCTGTGTCCTTATCATAAAAGGACCACATTTTGTGTTTGGCAAAAACAAATTCTGATATTTTCCGATCCGACAGAAGCAGAGCAGGTCATTTTGTGCTGTTTTCTTGCAGCCTGGTAAACGTCAGTATTGGGCAGCAACAGAACCCAGAGGAAAAATGTGCTGCTCTTATTTTCAGCTCAGAGACAAACGTTGAGACTCTCATTGTGGTCTCATTATAGTTCTAGATTTGTCTGCTGTGAGTCTTGTTTGTTTCTCCTAAAATTCACAGGAGTCTTACTTGAGACACTGGGGAGAAACATTTTAACCGTTTTAATCGTCCTAAAAAAAACATACAACTGAGAAAAAATAAAACATTTGTGAATTTCAAAAGTGTTTTTATTGATAATATTAAAGACAAATGTGTACGCTTCAACTGAACATGGTACAGTTTTTTGGGGGTTTTGTTTTTTGTTTTTACATTTGACCAATCCAAGCCCCTTTGTATAGTTTCAGTTTTATTTTGAACTCTTTGTAACATTTACATACACACTTATAACTTAGGTTCATCATCAAAACTCCAACTAAAACCTTTCACATGTCCCAAATGCATCATTAAAAGAGTCTCAGTGTCACATANAAGTAAGACTGACCTGTAGTTTGTGTGTTGAGGGTTTGACTCCGCTGAGGTTCCTTTGAGCAAATGCAGAGTGTTTCCTGGTTCAGTGTGTTTGAGCAGAGGGAGGAGCTGCTGTGTCCTGCCCTCCTCCTGTAACGTGGTGTGTTCACAGTTGGTTTTGGTCGCTGACAGGTTGGTCTGCTCACTGCGCTCTTCCTCACACTGCTCATGTGACGAGTCACACTGATGCTCCACATTTTGGTATCAACTGTTTGGAGCATTTTTGTCATTTCAGCCCTTTAAATGTCATTTTTTATTCCAAAAGGACCAAAGCCAGTGAGTGTGTGTAGTGTGTGTGTGTGTAGTGTGTGTGTGTGTGTGTGTGTGTGTGTAGTGTGTGTAGTGTGTGTGTGTGTGTGTGTGTGTGTGTGTGTGTAGTGTGTGTGTGTGTGTGTGTGTGTGTGTGTGTGTGTGTGTGTAGTGTGTGTGTGTGTGTGTAGTGTGTGTGTGTGTAGTAGTGTGTGTGTGTGTGTGTAGTGTGGTGTGTATGTGTGTGTGTTAGTGTGTGTGTGTGTGTGTAGTGTGTGTGTGTGTGTGTGTGTGTGTGTGTATGTGTGTGTGTGTAGTGTGTAGTGTGTGTGTGTGTGTGTAGTGTGTGTGTGTGTGTAGTGTGTGTGTGTGTGTGTGTGTGTGTGTGTGTAGTGTGTGTGTGTGTAGAGTGTGTAGTGTGTGTGTGTGTGTGTGTGTGTGTGTGTGTGTAGTGTGTGTGTGTGTGTAGAGTGTGTAGAGTGTGTTGTGTGTGTGTAGTGTATATGTAATGTGGGTATACTAATACTAATACTAATACTAATGCTAACGCTAATACTAATACTAATACTAATGCTAACGCTAATACTAATACTAATGCTAACGCTAATACTAATACTAATGCTAACGCTAATACTAATACTAATGCTATCGCTAACGCTAATACTAATACTAATACTAATGCTAACGCTAATACTAATACTAATACTAACGCTAATACTAATACTAATACTAATGCTAACGCTAATACTAATTTACTAATATAACGCTATATGGCTAATACTAATACTAACTATACTAATAATGCTATAATACTAATACTAATACCTAATACTAACTATGCTAACGCTAATACTAATGCTAATACTAAATGCTAATACTAACTAATGCTGCTAATACTAATACTAACGCTAATACTAATACTAATACTAATACTAATAACGCTAATACTAATGCTAATACTATATATACTAATGCTACTATACTAATGCTAATACTAATACTAATATAATACTAATGCTAACGCTACTAATACTAATACTAATACTAATGCTAACGCTAATACTAATACTAATACTAATGCTAATGCTAATACTAATACTAATGCTAACGCTAATACTAATACTAATGCTAACGCTAATACTAATACTAATACTAATACTAATGCTAATACTAATACTAATACTAATGCTAACGCTAATACTAATACTAATAACTAATACATACTAATGCTAATGCTAATACTAATACTAATACTAATACTAATACTAATACTCATATAATACTAATACTAAGCTAAATACTAATACTAAACTAACGCTAATACTAATACTAATACTAATGCTAATACTAATACTAATGCTAATACTAATACTAATGCTAATACTAATGCTAATACTAATACTAATGCTAATACTAATGCTAATACTAATACTAATGCTAATACTAATACTAATGCTAATACTACTAATACTAATGCTAATACTAATACTAATACTAATACTAATGCTAATACTAATACTAATGCTAATACTAATACTAATACTAATAATACTAACTATGCTAATACTAATGCTAATACTAATACTAATGCTAATACTAAATACTAAACTAATACTTAATGCTAATACTAATACTAATGCTAATGCTAATACTAATACTAATACTAATACTAATATGCTAATACTAATACTAATACTAATACTAATACTAATACTAATACTAATGCTAATCTAATACTATGCTAAATACTAATACTAATACTACTATACTAATGCTAACGCTAATACTAATACTAATACTAATGCTAATACTAATACTAATACTAATACTAATACTAATACTAACTAATACTAATGCTAATACTAATACTAATACTAATACTAATGCTAATACTAATACTAATACTAATACTAATACTAATACTAATACTAATACTAATACTAATGCTAATGCTAATACTAATGCTAATACTAATACTAATGCTAATACTAATACTAATACTAATACTAATGCTAATACTAATACTAATACTAATGCTAATACTAATGCTAATACTAATACTAATACTAATACTAATACTAACTAATGCTAATACTAATACTAATACTAATACTAATGCTAAATACTAATACTAATACTAATACTAATGCTAACGCTAATACTAATACTAATACTAATGCTAACGCTAATACTAATACTAATACTAATACTAATACTAATGCTAACGCTAATTACTAATACTAATACTAATACTAAAACTAACGCTAATACTAATACTAATACTAATACTAATACTAACTAATGCTAATACTAATACTAATGCTAATACTAATGCTAATACTAATACTAATGCTAACGCTAATACTAACGCTAATACTAATACTAATACTAATGCTAACGCTAATACTAATACTACTAACGCTAATACTAATACTAATACTAATACTAATACTAACGCTAATACTAATGCTAATACTAATAGTAATACTAACGCTAATACTAATACTAATGCTAATGCTAATACTAATACTAATGCTAACGCTAATACTAACGCTAATACTAATACTAATACTAATACTAACGCTAATACTAATGCTAATACTAATACTAATACTAACGCTAATACTAATACTAATGCTAATGCTAATACTAATACTAATGCTAACGCTAATACTAACGCTAATACTAATACTAATACTAATACTAATACTACTAACGCTAATACTAATGCTAATACTAATAGTAATACTAACGCTAATACTAATACTAATGCTAATGCTAATACTAATACTAATGCTAACGCTAATACTAACGCTAATACTAATACTAATACTAATGCTATACTGTTCACTAAAAGTCGTGACAGACGGAAAAATTGTTGGCTAATGCTAATACTAATGCTAATACTAATACTAATGCTAATGCTCTATTTGCTATTCCATCCATTTTCTTCCTCTTATCCGAGGTCTCGGGGGCATCAGTCTAAACAGAGACTCCCAGACTTCCTTCACCCCAGACACTTCCTCCAGCTCCTCCAGTGGGACCTGAGGTGTTCCCAGTCCAGTCCAGAGACATGGTCCCTCCAGTGTGTCCTGGGTCTCCTCCTCCCGGTGGGACATGAACACCTCCTGAGGGACACGTCCAGGAGACGTCAGAACAGACGTCCTCCCCTCAGACGCTCCTCTCCACGTGGAGGAGCAGCGGCTCTACTCCGAGCTCCGACCTCTGTCTCTAAGGGAGACGCCCGGACGCCCTGCGGAGGAAACTCATCTGTGTCGTTTGTATCTGTGATCTCGTCCTTTCAGTCTTTACCCAGAGCTCATGACCAGAGGTGAGAGGAGGAACAAAGACTGACGGTAAATCCAGACTCA